TTTTCAGTAGCACAGTCCGCCTTACTTCTACTCCGTTCCACGCCAATCAACACGCCTGAAGACTCTCTGAATGTCACGAACCAAGCTTCGATGCAGTTGTTGGACTTGATCCTATGACGCTGGGACAAAAAAGTAAGCAGCCTATGCACAAAACTACGCAAATCAGCACGTCAGTGAATGCAACTTGTGCACTCAGAGGGGCCTTACGGCGAGAACTTGGCATGGGGTAGTGGAGAGACCTTTCAGTTCGAAGAAAGCTGTGAAAATGTGGGTTTTGATGAGAAACTTATTACGAACTATAGATTCTAATTCCTGTGCTCCTGGCCAGGTTTGGTGGCCCATTATAATCTCAAGTGGTCTGGCGCGAATCGGTTCGCCTAGGGAATGTGCTAAAGGTTACTGCACTAATGGAGGAACCTTCAATTGGGGATTGCAATTATGATCCTCCTGGTAAATATATTGGGAAACGACCTTATTAATCCATAATGTCCCGTTTAGATTTACCCAAGGATAAAATATGTCAACTTGGTTCAATAATCCAAGACTATAAAGAATATGATTTATGTCTCCGGTTTCAAGCCTAGATTAAGTTGGAACCAAGAAAAAATGGAAATAAAATAGAATATGATATATGTCTTGGCCTGATTTCCAGCATGGAGATTTGCTTTTGTTATTTTGTAAAAGGGCAAGATTTTTAAGCCAAAAAATAGAAATAAAATAAAAATATTAGGAGTTTGTCCCTCATTTCCTGTGTTTCACTATCATTTACTCTCGTGATTGCTGATTACAATAACTTAAGCCAATTCATATACTATCTTCTAGACATCAATCTTTCTACAAAAAGACAAACACTACAAAAAAATTCGGCAATTTGCGAACGCGATTTTGGTCCGTGGCAAACTGCAGAGAAATCGTTCGTTAAACACCATTAGCGACCCGATAACCATATATGCAAAAAGTGCTGCAGCCCGCTAGAATAAATGAAATTTAGATTTCTCAAGCCTAATGACAGGCTAAACGGCAGTACACACAAACTATACGCATTAAAAGTGGATAATATTAGCATCGAATTGCTGATTTCATTAGGCTAGAAACACGTTTTAAACTTGAATCTACTGTATCCTTACCTCATCTGCGATTCATCGCAATGAGTGCAGAGTTACTAAGTCCGGGATTGGAGGTTTGTTAGCCCATTTCCTTGGAATGATCCAATCGCAAACAGAGTTATTTCTTTAAATTGCGACATGAAAATCGAAACCGGGAAACCGAAATCGAAACCCGAAAATGGAAATGAAGAACATAAGGAGGAGCGCACCATATCAAAAAATCAAAAATCAACAATCTAAGATGAGAAAATAACCAATTAGAAAATCGATATTTGAGAAAAGGTACGCTCCAGTTAGTTCGGTGCAAGCTAATCTGAACAGTTGAGATCTCAGACCTATCCTTTTTACAGTATGGAAAGGACGCAGTGAGAAGAGGGAAAGTAGAGAGAGAGGAGAGAGGAATCAATCGCGTGTCGAGGAAACGGGAAGAGGGATAAAGTTTCGTACTATGGCACATTTGTAATTATTTCCTATGTATTACAGTAAATTCACTCGGCGCTTCGGATGACAGTTTCGCGGAAAATCAGATTTGTTTTTTTTCTAGTTTAATGACAAAAATTCATGTAATCTTTACACAATAATAATTTTTGGTCCTTCTTATTTTAGGATAAGAAATTTAAGTCCACTTTGTATCTTGTAATTTGTAATTAAGTTCTGTAACTGAGGACTAAACGTCCAAATAACATAAATTGAATATTTGAACTTTAAAAGAAACGTTAATTAGTATCACTTAATTTTATCCTTGAATCAATAACTTTGTAAGCTCTATTATTTAATTAAATACTTAAATTTTTTTAAAATTATACTTATGAATAATTTCAACGTAAAAAAATTGGTACTCGTTATAAATGGTATATGATAATTAAAAGAAATATAAAATCATTTAACTAATTTTTATGTTAAAAAGATACATAAAATATCCTACTCATTAAAATACAATACGTAATAACTGAAAAAATGTATAAATTTATGTCGTGTGATTGTTATACATTAAAATATAAATAGATTATAAATTAATATATGTAAATTTTTTTAAGTTTTGAATGCCTATGTAAGTAAGTTAATAATCAAGAATCTGAAATTGTTAATTTTTTCAAACATACTACGACCGTCTCTAATGCCATTGAGTTAAGTTTAATCAATATTTTTCAGTAGTAACCTATTTTTTTTTCTCACTATTTTAGAGAAAAAATAAACTTCAAAACAAGATTTTCCACAATTCCATGTTTTTTTCAAACTTTTTAATTCTTCAGAAGAAATCAAATTAGAAATTTTATTAAGTTGAAACTATATATAGATATGAAGATAACAGATCAAGTATGCTTGTAATATTTTTATATAAGGAAATCTAATGATAAAACCACTTATATAAAGAATAAATAAATACAATCTTGATTTGGAAGCATCTGATTTAGTTGATATAAACATAATATTTGTCATAGGCTGATCGTTGATCCACTTGAGTGACTATTCATAGTTATTAATTTACTCCATAGCTTTCTACAGGTCCAATTTGTCATTATTGTTCAAATTTCTTCCTTCTTTTGGTGAGAAGATTTGCACTTGTATTTGTATAATCAATCCAAATAATAAATTTTTTTCCTACTATGGGAGAAGGGTGACCATGGAAAGATGGTAACATCCCAGGCTCTAACGTAGATAATTGTCCGCTTTGGGCCCCAGGCCCGCACAGTTTTGGTTCCTGGGCCAGGGAACCACCTCCTAGCCCAAACGCGTTCGGGAAAAATCAAAAGGCTGCTACTCTTATGTACTAGTACTTCCACCTTGTGGCTTAGCCCGAGTGGGATTTCGCCTAAGGTGCAGTCCTGACATACAACCCCCCTTAGGGACTGCAGCGTCCTCCGCTGAGGTTTGCCCCAACCACCAGCCATAGGGAGCAAGGCCTTGGCTCTGATTAACCCAAGTTTGTAACAATCCCAGGCTCTACCGAGATATTGTCCGCTTTGGCCCAGGCCCGCACGGTTTTGTTCCTGGGCCAGGGAACGCACCTCCTAGCCCAAGAACGCGTCTCGGGAACTCAAGGCCTGCTACTCCTATGTAAGTGTCTCGGGAACTCAAGGCCTGCTACTCCTTATGTACAGTACTTCCACCTTGTGCTTAGCCGATGTGGGATTTCGCCTAAGGTGCAGTCCCTGACATAAGAGCTCACCAGTGGCTTAGATTTTGAGAGAAAGAGAGAGGACTTTGTAGGAAATTTTTATTGTTTTTTAATTTTTAGCAATAATAAAATTTAAATCTTTAAAAAGATGGGAATCCAAGCTTCCATTAGGCATGAATTCATAAACAAGCAATAATTCTCCTCTTTCATGGCACCAACCTAAAAGTTGCACTAAATTTCTATGCCTCAATTGACTAATTACCTTTACTTCTGATGCATATTCCCTTATTCCTTGCTTGGATTCTCTTGATATTCTCTTTACTGCAACAAACAAATCTACTTCTTTCAAATATCCTCTGTAAACTGCTCCAAACCCTCCTTCTCCAAGCTTTTCTTGCTCTGAGAAGTTATTGGTTGCACGAACCAAATCATTGTAAGAGAACTTTCGCGGGCCGTTGTTCTTCCCAAACTCATCATCAATTGATAAATTAGGGATAAATTCATTACCCTCTTCCTCTTTACTCTCTTTCCAGCAGCAAAAATATGACAAACTTGATATTATTACACCAACAAAAACACATAAACCAATGCTTAGCCCTATTGCAAGTCCTATAACTTTGTTAGAGTTGGACCTGTTTGTCGATGTATTATTTTTTGGTACATCAGTTATTTGTAACGTATTATCTTTTGGTACTATATGCTTTGGCTCTTGCAAATTTGAAGTAAAAAACCATGAATAAAGATTATGCTGTTCGAAAGATCTTTTGGTACTATATTATCAGTTATTTGTAACGTATTATCTTTTGGTACTATATGCTTTGGCTCTTGCAAATTTGAAGTAAAAAACCATGAATAAAGATTATGCTGTTCGAAAGCCGATCCTGTAGCAGCTGAAAACCCTATGTTAACCCATTCAGGTAAGTAATCTCTTAAATCAACATCATAAATAAGATTTTGCTCAATTAACTCATCATTATTACTAAATGCAGTGAAACTAACAGTTAATCTTTTTAGGGTAGAGTCATATGTAATTGAAGCATTAACTTTTTGACCATCCTCCATGCCTTTAGACCAAGACCAATCTGTAGTAATATTAGAGTTTACAGAATTAATATCAATACCTACATGTTGACGAGATGAGGGATCCCAACTGTTACGAAAAGTATCAAATTCTACAGCAAGAAATGGATATTTAGAGGTCTGATTTTCTATAGCAAGGCCGAGACCACCGCCAGCAAAATGATCCCCGAGAGTGAAATTCTCCGATGAAAGAAAGAAAGTCATTCCGTCTCCACTAGTTGTAAGATCTTTGGATTCTATTGAAAAAGAAAAAGCTGTGTGGAAGTCGGTGAGATTTCTTGAGGTTTTGTTCCAAAGATAAACTGGTTTACAATATGTGACTCGACCGATAACCCAAGTGGTAGAATTATCTGTGGTGAGATAGATGGCATTTTGGGAGACAGAAGTATTTCGTTCGTAATTTAGACAAACCGTAATACCCAAGTTGGTAGAATTAAATGGTTTACAATATGTGACTCGACCGATAACCCAAGTGGTAGAATTATCTGTGGTGAGATAGATGGCATTTTGGGAGACAGAAGTATTTCGTTCGTAATTTAGACAACGGGAATTCGGATTGAAGCTGGAAAAATTCAAAGTTAGGGAAGTTGTATGAGTTATTATGAGAAAGAAAAAGATTATTTGGAATGAAAGAGTCATTTTAGAAGTAGTGAAAATGCTGTACGAAGCCATGGTGTGAGAAATGTTGGTTTTGTTACATAAATAGGAAAAGGAAAAAACTTGTATAGAAGAGGCACATATATATGACCCCACTTACATATCAAATCAATGAAATTAAAAATTTTTTAAAAAGGTTTGATTTTATTTTTCTTTTCCAAGTATATAGTCAGAAATACATTCATTTCAATAATAATCTTTAATTTTATTGGTTTGGTTCATAGGTGGAGCCATGGATCCGGTCTAAATTCCTACAATCATTTATCAAAGAAGCTAAAAATATAAGAAAAAGACAAGGCTGCCATATAATGTTTTGTTGATTAATATATATCAGTAATGAATTATGCCCTTGATTAAGATATCTTATGTGTTAACACATTTAGACGATTAACTTATCTAGACCGGGTTTGAGCTTCTGACAATTCATGGAAAAAAATGAATCCTATAATTTCTTTTTATTTATATTTAGAGCTTGTTTATATAAAAGAATTCTATAATTTTAAGAAATTAATTTATAAATTCTGCTTTTCCTTATTATAAAAAAAATTCACATGTAATCATTTCTAATTATATAAAGTTAATCATACTTGAATGAAATTCTGAAAAAATTGATGTAATTTATGCAAAATTAACAAGAGTAAAGTTGTATAAATTTAAAATAAATTATTATAAAGTTAATGAAGTTCATTGATAAATGAATTCATTCAAGGAAATGGTTTGAAAAAAAGTGAAATTCTTAAAGAAGATTAGAAGGGGACACTATGTTTAAAGGGCTCATTCATATAACTTCTACACCAATCATGGAATTAGGAGGACCATGGCTTCATTGTCTTCCTTCTCATTTTTTTTTAATTCACTGGAGACTTTTACGAACTAAAATAATATTTGTAGGCTATACAACAGGGATAGTCCTTCCCTTGATTCATTAAATTCGTGAAATAATTGTGATCGAGAGGACTCGAATTTGAGACATTTTACTCTTCAGATAAGTAAAAATCAACCAGACCACTACCTGATGACGATCTTCCTTCTTATTAAAATGGAGATGAGAGTGGTCTAGAATTTGACTATATAATAGTTAATAAAGAGTAAAAAATCACAAACCCAGAACCCACTACCCTGATATAGACGATTCTTAATTAACCTATCTTATTAAATGGAGATAAGAGAAGCATTGGTCCTACGAATTTTGACTTATATATAGTTAAATAAGTAAATAAATAACATGATTTCATTATAAATGTTAAATCCGCTTTAAAGCGTATTATACTAGCCGGTCCAAGGTCTTTTGGAGTGCAGATTGGTTTCATTTGACTATTGTTAAAATGCATTACTTTGGCGTAGTCCACGGGTTAATATGAGGTTGATTGAACATTGTCAACTTATTCCCATATAGTGCCTAATTAAAAATGAGACTTTAAAATCAAGAAATAAATTTTTTTTGGATAGTTAATATTACTTTGGCGTAGTCCACGGGTAATGAGGTTGATGACATTGTCAACTTATTCCCATATATGCTAATTAAAATGAGACTTTTAAAATCAAGAATAAATTTTTTTGATACTAGTCAAGGTCTTTCTTTTTTTTAAGCTAAATTTTGAGTTAATTGTATACTTATTGGTTAAAATTTTATTTTATTTTTTGGATATATAGAAGACTCAATGAACCAGAATAACATTTCTGGATAGATTATACAACAGGGGCAGTCCTCCCCATTGAATAACATTCACCGAAATAGCGATAACTTTCATAGTGGAAAAATTCAAATTCGAGACTTTTCACTTCTTATATCTTTTACAAAAGGTAAAAAAACTAACCAGACCATATAAATTTTAAAATTTTATTATTTATACATATCTTAAACCCGTTTAAATAACTTTTTAAGTATTTATATTGAAACTCATTTAAAATTTTACTACTCAGCACATGTTTCAATCCATTTAAAACACCCTTAAATATGTAGGATATCCATAAACTTTAAATTTTCCAAACTCAGAACTTATTAAAAGTACATACATTTTAAATTATCAAAACTTAAACTTATTGAAATACGTTGTTGTTTACCAATAATAGATAGGATTTCCACCATCAAACCCATGTATATAATATAACATTAATATAGCAGAGAACGAGTAACTGTATCCTAACTGTAATAATTTCATGTACCTTCATTAAATAATGGATCGGAAATAATAGCTTAGCATGGTACCATGGTGGGGATGCTCTGACAATAACTGGCCATTGTTTTCCCCTTTTACAATTTCACCGTGTTGGACGCGTCAAATTTTCTTCTTCTTGAACTTAAACTTAACCAAAAAAAATACAATCATGGCCGTTAAAGTTGAAGTCCATGATTATTTTTCTCCCGGACCGCATACGTTAGAAACTTGAAAAAAAAAAATCATGCAGGCGAAGATAAGAAAAAACCTAAAAACGCCAAACCAGTCCACTTAATTACAGTATACTTTTCTAAGGGACTGTTTGAAAGTCTGGTTTAGATATTTTGGTAATAAAAAATTTACAAAGAGATAAGAATGTGTACTATTCATTCGATGGTGAAGTCTTTTTTTTTTTTTAAAAATTTCAAACGGAATTATGCATTAAGAGCCAAATCCCAAGCGGGACTCAGAGTACAGCAAATTACATAAAGCTAGAGAGGGATACAACTTTATATATATCTCAGGGTCTGTTTCAAAGACGACTTGTCGTGCATTCGTGCTTTTAGCTAAATTGATTGCCGCCAGCAGGCTTGTGCTTCTCCTGCTAAAGCTGAGGAACATGATTTTCCCGCAAGTCAGGCCATCTAATGGTTATTTCTTTGATCTAAACTATATATAAGTTACTTATTTGAATATGCAAGCGAAATTTTATTTAAATGAAAAACCAGGTGTAGCCGCTTACCAAATTGGAAAAAACAATTGTGGTTGAGAAGACTTAAATTCGAAACCTCTCACTCCTTACATAAATGAGAAAACTAACCACACCACCACCTGATTGGTAAAAAAAAAAAAAAAAAAAAACATATATTGATATATGCTCTTCTCTAAAAAAAAAAAAAAAAAAAAAAGCATATATTGATATATGCTCTTCTCTAGTTCTATATGTGGGAACTTGAATATATATATATATAACCCTTCTTAGTTCAACTCTAACTAAACTTTGCCGGATTAAAGAAGTTTCAATTCCAGTTGATAAGAGGTGGAATTGGGATGTTATCCAAGTAAGAATCTCTGATTCCACTTTTGAATTGAAATGTAAATCGAAAGCTTTTTATCTTTTTAACAAAAATTTGGAAAATTAATTAATTAATTTACTACAAGTTAATTGCTTGATCTTAAAATAATGAAGTTGTTGATGCTGTCCAAACTAAAGGCCCATGAATTAAGAAATTATATCAAAAATAATGCCGAGAGAGCGAGTTGGGCTTAAACCCATGAATTATAAATATTGCATATATTTTGGATTTTTGTATATACTTTTTTAGAGAGAGCATCTTGCTTGGAGGGCACTCTTAGAATCTATGAACAGGAAAAACTATAATCTAATTGATACGAGAATATACACGAGCAAACCGAATTATTTGGCTGCATTCAAGTTACCTTATATTTATCCGTTTTTTTCCAACCACATAATTTCTTATATTTCTATCAAATTTCTCTCATTTTTAATTTTCATCACTGAAGCCTTTTTATTCTTATCCCATTCTTAACGAATTAAACAGGTCCGACACATTTATCCACTCTATTCCAAGGCAATCTTGATAAACGCAGGTCCAATAAAATCATAACAATTTAAGATCTAAATTTAAAATATCGTATAACTATTAAACTTTATAAAAAAATATTAAAAGTCAATTCTTAATTTATTATAATTAATTTAGTTTCATTCAGATTAGTCGGGCAGTGAAATTGTTAAAACCAATTAATTTAGTTTCATTATTGATTTATTTATTTGCCTAACTGACTTGTAATTCTCAAACAATTCATTGAAATTTTTAAAATTATTTGAAAATAAAAAAATAAAAGTATTAATATTAGTTGTCTATTAGGAGACTACAATATATAAATTGTAGAAAATTTTTGTTATTTAAGTCTTAATTATCTAATCAAATTGAATTTTCGCAATATCAAATTGAAAATGACATTATTCTGAATGATTCAAGTATCCTTTATTAAATTATATCATTTTCAGATATGGAAATCGACAAAATAAAATTCATTTGAATTAATTCTTACAAAATTGCACTTTCCAAATGGGAGATAAAACAATTAGGAATGGAAAAGTTTAAGCAAGCTGACAAAGAATCAGGCCGGTAAGCAATTAACATTGGACCTAATAAATAAAAAGTTTTCTTTTTTATTTTATTAAATATATACATGATATAATGAAAAAACATACTATTGATTTATAAAATAATCGGATTGACGAGACCTAAAACTATTTTTCTAAATGAGATTAATTTTATTTTGATTTTATTTTTCTAAATGAGATTAATGAGAAATACATACTTATGATTTGGATAATATTTTTGTCCGAATAGATAATATAATCCATCAACTTTGGTATCTTAGTTTTTAAAATTTATCGACTATTTTAACTTATAAAATTAAATACTTCAACTCATTGTAAAATTAGATGAATTAATTATCTATTAAATAGTTGATAAATATAAAAAATTATTGTTATAAAAGTTATATTAATTATACGATAAATCAATATTTTACACATAAAATCCAAAAACCTAAAAATTATTGTTATTAATATGGAAAATATGTGCAACGTTATCAAAATTTACAAATTCAGCGCACAATAAGTCAGTCATAAAATACAGAATATTATAGGATTAAAATGATAAAATTTAAGGATAAATTTATATATTTCACGAATAATTTTTTATGAGATTAATTATTAAGTAAAGATAAATTTGAAATTTCATAAGGAAAAAATAAAATTTGGAGGTCACAAAACGAAATAGGTCGGCTTGACATTGACTAAATATTAATATTCAAGTTCTT